CTTCCCATACAAGCGCTGGCCTTGGCCAACACTGCTTAGCGACAGATAAATGCATTTTATAAACTACAGATAATGTACTTAATGAGGACATTTGTTTGCCATTTTGTTTACTGAGGGTGCGATCCAGCCAAAGTTAAATATCATTAAGCCATTGGGACTCAATGGGGAAACATTACGCACACACTTCTTTCTCTTGCTGATATGAATGGGACTTAACTTTGGATGGGACTTAATGGTGCTTAACTTTGGCTGGATCACACCACCCATTTATGCCTTCTTTTTGACGAAGAAACTGGCTCACCAGCTTCACAAAACATATAAAGACTCACAACTGACATTGCAGAGGGGAAGACAGGTGGTTTAGGCTCGTCAGATATCAGAAGGGAAGCAGGGATGGTCCTTGGAAGGGAGGCCACCAAGGAAGGCTCTAAAGGCCAACCTTCTCTGCTCCTCACTTGCCTTGAAGGCCCCTTGCTGGGGTTGGCATTTGGATGGGAGACCACCAAGGAAGACTCTGCAGAGGAAGGCCATGGCAAACCACCTCTGCTTCTCGCTTGCCTTGGAAGCCCCTTGCAGGGGTCGGTACTTGCATGGTAGACCACCAAGGAAGACTCTGTAGAGGAAGGCAATGGCCAACCACCTCTGCTTCTCACTGGCCTTGAAAGCCCTTTGCAGGGGTTGGTACTTGGATGGGAGACCACCAAGGAAGACTCTGCAGAGGAAGGCAATGGGAAACCCCCTCTGCTTCCCACTTGCCTTGAAGGCCCCTTGCTCCTGTCACCATATGTCAGCTGCAACCTGACTGCACTTTACATCCGCACAAAACTGCAAAGCATAATCAAATTTTTAAAAAGAGACTACACCAGGCAGGGGAGTCCTTGAATTGACCTGGAAGTCATCTTAGGACATCTTAGGTTCCAGTAGATGTCCACAAGAGCCAACCAACAAATTCTCTTTATAGCCACAAGCACTGATTCGGCACAGACTTTATTACATTTCTAAAATCTCACAGAGGAGCTATGGGCTGCTTAGGCCATTCTCCTCTGCAGTGTTTTATCCTGAACCCAGGGAATGCGGTTTGACCGAGAGTAGGAGTGAATAATTGCTGAATGGGGATGTGACCATATGGGTCTTCTCAGTCCAGCACCTAAAGCAGTCCTGGATTTCAAAGCACTTGGAGAAAGTAACAGAGATCCAGTACATCCCAAAAAAGGAACAGTAGGAGACTCGGTGGGAGAGCAGATGCTTGATGTGTAGAAGGTCCCAGGTTCAGTCCTGGCCATCTCCATAGAAAGGACCTCAGATGGAAGGTGTTGGTGAAAGACCTTTCTCTGCCTGAGGCCTTAGTGAGTCATTTCTAGACAGAACAAGATGGTCTTCCACAACTCTGTATCCCTTCCTGGGCAGTCAGTAAGAAGGAATGGTCTCAGACTGAGGCCATGGAGACTGGAAGGCTCCATGTATGATGACTTCTCATGGGATTTTCAAGGCAGGGACAAGCAGAGATGGTTTTCCATTACCTTTGCATAACAAACTCTGGTGTTCTCACCAGAAAGCATCATTAGCAGGGCCTGTTGGACAGACCTTCTCTGGCATGTGGGCTTTTATGTGCAATCCCATCTTGTAGGAGCTTGTCTTATTCATGGCAAACCCCTTTGTACTCATGCCATGTACTGGAGCATGCACCTGTATAAATGAACAGAAGTAGGGTTAGCAAGACAGGATGTTAACTAGTGCAAAAAACCCGCCACCTCTCTGCCAAATTGAGTTGGTAGGACATTGGTCTTCCAAAATGTGTCAACTTTGTCCACCTCTATAGTCTTTCCTGACATCTATACTTTGGAGATTCCTGTACTTGCAGTTATTAGGTCAGTATATAATGAAATGAGGAAGTAGATGATAATTCCCCAGGAATTGATTTATTTTTTGCATCCTGTGTTGTTAAGGTGGCAGTCTTCATTAGCAGCCTGCTCTTTCTCTCTGGTTGCCAGCTCTGGGTGGGGAAATTCCTGGAGATTTGTTGGGTTGAGCCTGGGGAGGGGAAAGATTTCAGTAGGGCACAATGCCATAGAGACTAACTATCAACACAGCCATTTTCTCCAGGAGAACTGGTTTCTGCTGTCCGGAGACCAGTGTTTCCTCTAAGCTGAGCTGGTGTGAGCCAGCTCAAGTTTTTTTAGCCTCCGGCTCACATGTTTTTGTCCTAGTTCAGGAAGGGATGGCTCCAGAGTGCACTCATTTATGCAGCAGCCAAATTGCTCACTCACAACTTTCATGCCGGTCGCTCACAAAGTAGAATTTCTGCTCACAGGACTCCACAGCTTAGAGGGAGCATTGCTGGGGGCCAGGTGTCATTCTGGAGGGTCTCCAGACACCACCTGGAGGTTGGCAACCCTAACTTCCCAAGACCTTTTGCTCTGGCCATGTCTGCAGAGAGGACTCAGTGTTTGAGAGAAAACTGAATAGATGTCATGCAGCCACTGCTCTGTACAGAGTGGGCATTTCTTCCAGTCCCTTTCAGTGTCGTGCGATACACCTTGTTGTTCACTTTATGTTGAATATATATGTATGTGTTTATTTTCATTTTTTTAAATGATTCTTGGAAATGACGGGAGATTTAAGAGGCTGAAGGAGGGAGACTTTGGTGCGCTCCGAGGTGTCCTGCTGCCGGGTTATTGAAAAACTATTTGACCTGGGAGAATATATCTCCTTATTGTCACACATGGACACACATGAAGTTGTCATATACTGAGTCAGCCCATCAGCCCATCAAAGTCCGTCTCACCTACTCAGACTGGCAGCGGCTCTCCAGGGTCTCAGGCAGAGGTCTTTCACATCACCAACTGCCAAATCCTTTTTACTGGAGATGCCGGGGATTGAACCTGGGACCTTCTGCACACCGAGCAGAGGCTCTGCCTCTGAGCCACAGCCCCTCCCCATCATATTATTAGTTGCATCACATTATTTTCTGGATCAAAATGCACAGAATGCACCTCCCTTAAGGTTTATTTTAGGGTTTGTAAGAGAATACCTCTCTCGTAGAGAAACTCCTTTGGTTTGGTTTCTGCGTGAGTGTACATGCATATACATGGAGTACATGTGTGCGCCCACAGACATGAAGCTGCCTTACGCTCACTCCTGTTTACGCGTTACAGTGAACGCATGTATAATCCATATACAGTATACTAGATTTTTTCCCCTTTAGAATTACTTAACACCAATGTTCCCTCTAAGCTGCAGAGCCTTGTGAGCAAAAATGCTACTTTGTGAGCTACTGGCATTAAAGTTGTGAGTGGGCGATTTGGCTGCGGCATAAATTAGTTTGCTCTGGAGCCCATCCTTCCTGAGCAAACACAAAAATGTGTGAGCCGGAGGCTAAAAACCTGTGAGCTAGCTCACACCAACTCACCTTAGGGGGAACACTGCTTAACACATATATGATGTCACATTCCATGGCTGTACAGCTAAATAGGTGATTTAAACCCCTTTATCCAGGTAGGTCCCTAGGTTAATTTGTAAAATGAACACATGTTGGTTCTTTCTTATGAACAGATTTACACAAGGATGTGAAGAACACATGTATGTTTATGGTAACATGTAAACTACTGGCCTCTCAAGGTCAGTGTTGTCTACTCTGGCAGCAATTCTCCAAGGTGCTACTACTAACTGGAGAAGCCAAAGATTGGACATAGGGCTTTCTGTGTGCAAAGCCAATGCTCTACCACTGAGCCATGGTCCCTTCATAATGAATCTTGACATCTGCCTGTTGTCAGGAAGGAGGCAAGCTCAGCATAGGGCCACAGACTCATGCAGAGATGCGGTGGGCAGCCTCTGTGGCAATTAAAGGTTTAACTGTTTAATGCATTTGGGTGTTTTTGTGTTGGGAAGACAGCTATCGAGTGGGTTCAGAAGCTGGTAGGGCTGAGAGCAGGAGACGCTGCCAGTGATCCAGTAAGGCATTGTGTTTTCCTTTGTTAAAACAGGG